GATAGACAGACAGACAGACAGACAGACAGATATTGACAGACAGACAGACAGGCGGATAGTTTGTGTGTGTTTGTGTGACTACATGCAGATTTTAGTATGTAGTTTTCTTTGTGCAGAAATTTGTAACAAGGTGATTTTTTTTTGTAATGAACCTATTGGGTAGGTATGTATCTATTTCTAATAGATGATAATTTCTAAGTTTATTGGTTGTAAACTCTATTCAGCATGTGCAGGAAAGATCATTTAGAAAATCATACCAAACCAAACTGAAATAGAGCAAAAAAAGACTTCTTGGAACATCATAATGTAGATGACTAAAACACTCCAAAATACTCCCAGAAGCATGGATTGAAATGACTACTTTATTTATAGAGCAACACAAATGGGTTTGGCTCTTCAAAGAAGCTGAGATTTGGGGAGGAATGCTTGTGAAAATCAGCTTTATACTGAAAGTCATATACTCATATATTGTATCACTGCCCTGCATATGAACCAGATCACTAGCTCTTACAGATTCTGCTGAAATCAAGATATTCATCAAATAATAAATAAAGATATTCATAAAATAATAAAAAAACACAAGTGAACCAAGCATAATTTGTGAAATCCATATTTCTGTTACTCAGTCCAAATGTTTTATACCAATGTAAAATAACTTATAGTGTGTGGCAAGGTATTTTTGCCAGCAGTTATACTGATGTTTTCCCATGAAATTGAATGTTAGGCAAACTTTAAAAATACTAGTCTTTTAAAACTTTGCCTTAGTATTCAGAAATTTATCAAAAATTATTGAGTCAATTACATTAATACCATTTTTTCCTCAACTAGAACATTACTTTGAAAATTATTGACACACAGTTCACTTCAATTGTAGAATGGATAAAACAGTATAATATTATATGAAATATATGACCATTACCACATTCATTATAAAAAACATTTATGGCTTATGCTAATTCCATAACTAAATTTAAATCAGTTTAGCAGCTAGAATCTGGTAAGAAATAAACTCTTTTTGAAGAATATTTTTATTATTAGAGCCTATCATAAAACTATGCTACAACTGTCAGCAATAATTGACAAAAAATATTTTTCTCCATCACACAAAACATTCAAGCTAACCAGAGAGAACTGCAATGTCTTTAATTTTTAGGGTTCCATAAGCAGGAAATTATATCAAATTGTTAACAAATATGGATTGAATGCTAATGAACTTGAAGAACAGCCAAATTCTTTTATATGATTGGCTCAAGCCATATGCACTAGAAGAACATTCTTTCGAAGAGACTAGCTGGTATTCAGAGACCACTATCAATTAACAGAAACTGGTCACATGGGGTAATTCCAACTGTCCTCCATCCTTTGAAAAACTGCTGAGAATTATAGCAGAGTGTTTTACATCAGATTGGTATTTAAGCAGAGAGAAAGCTATGAAAACCCAATATTTTGGATTTTATGACTGAAATTTTTACTCACTTTGTAATAATTAATTTCAAAAACACATCTTTTCATCTGCAAATTAAAAATTAAGCAACTAACATAGAAATATGAACAGTTTTAAAAGAAGATTTATTCCTCAGCACATTGTTTGCTTGTTTTTTTTATTTTTTCTACATTTCTGAACAACCCAACTCTCTCAAAGAAAGATTATTTAACTATTTATAGTTATCCTATTACCTGATATAGTTCAGATGAAGACATTGATTTTGCATAAAACTAAAAAAAACAACATATCTGAATAATGTAACTTTTGTTTTTGTGTTTTCATGTTATGCTTTTGTGTTTTTTCTAACAAGAAAAAATAGCAAAAATTAATATTCTCTTCTGATTGCACTCCACATGTGATTAAATGTTTGGAATTACAAGCATATTAGAAATGAAAGATAAGATCAACTCAAATTTTAAAAAATGAAGTACATGTTTCAGTGGTTTTCTTTGCATCATTTTTCATAACTCAATATAGATTCCCTTGGGTTATTCAACCAAGTTAGTGATGCATCAGCTTTGCGTAAGTTAATCAGTGGTGGCAATTCCATTGTAATAATTTCTCTCAATAAATAACTTTAGAACTAATTAAATAGAAAGCCAATTTTTTTTAGAATTTTAAAATGTGGACCATTAAATACTGATTACCCCCTGCTCAGGCAGGAAACCCTATAGCATTTCGGACAAATGGCTGTCCAGTCTCTTCTAAAAAACTTCCAGTGTTGGAGCATTCGCTGCTTCTGGAGGCAGGTTGTTCCACTGGTTAATTGTTCTAACTGTCAGGAAGTTTCTCCTTAGTTCTAGGTTGCTTCTCTCCTTGATTAATTTCCATCTGTTGCTTCTTGTCCTGCCTTCAGGCGCTTTGCTGACTTTCCTGGAGCATAGTAATTTCAAACTGAATGAGAAACTATTTGAAAGTTTCAAATTTCAAAATTCCTTATGCAGAAGTAAATTACTGTATAGAAATTTTAAATTATTTTTCTGCATTTCTATATAAGTAAAAGAAAATCCTAGCTAAGAAATCTGGAAAATACAAAGAGATACATTTAATCTCTTCAAAATATACTGAAATGTTGGCTGACTACAAGCTGCGCTGACAAGCCTCAAGTCTGCTTCCTTTCTCCTTTCTAATTCACTTTTATTAGAAAGGAGGACACTGGAAGTTTTCGGTGCTAATATTCCAAATACAAGAAGTGAATTTTTTTTTAAAAAGTAATAGAAAATGATATATAGTAAGGAACATCTTCTAATCGTCTGCTCTCTGAAGCAAAGAAGACCAAAAGTGGATGAGCTAGATCAGGGATAGGCAATTAATTTCTGCAGGGGGCACATGAGAAACTGGGACTGTTGTGGAGGGCCGCCCCTGCCACAGTCCAGACAGGAACAGCTAATGGGCTGGATTGACCCACAGGCCATAAAATACCCAGGTGTGAGCTAGAATAAGAGTTATTATTGCTCATAAATTCAAATAATAAATTGTTATATTTGAACAATTTGTGTAGAGGGAATTAGGATTACAAACTATGCAGAAGAATTTTGAGAATAATAAAGAAGAACCGTAATCCTGGTTACAAAATAAACTTAAGATTTACTTTGCTAAAAGCGTATTCTCAATAAGCCTCAATTCTGGCATTGGAAACAATTAACATATAGAACACTGCCAACCAATACGGTGATCTCCAAGAATACAAGGACTCAAGTCTCAGTAGGAAATCTCATCTATCACAGAATCCTTTGCTATCTGATACTGTACTTCAGGACTATTTAGCTGCACTATTGCAGGTACTTTAATTTACACATCTACTAAGGATTGAGACCTTTTTGTAAGAATTTACTTATGAACAGGAAATGGAATTATTCAAAATTATTTCAAACTATGCTACCACAGCAGTTATTTACTACTGTAATGCGATTTATATGATATTCTATTGACAGAGAACTCAAAGCAACTAACAACTTAAAAAAAAAATAAACAATTAGGATAAAGAAGTGCCTCAGATTGATAAGTAACCTGGGGAGAAAATAATCAATGCGAAAGGAGCAGGCCAGTTAAGAGAGGCCATCTTCCAATGATGGTCTTCTTGATGTCATTGGTACCACTGATACAGATGATAAGATAACTTTTATTGTCATTTTTTTTTACTGTAGGCACACTGGCATACATTAAAAATGAAATTCGGTTGCTTGCTCTCAAAAGTATACACATACATAACACATATAAACATGCTATATACAACATATGTATATACTTACACCCTTACATATGAGAAGGCAGAAAGAATTTGAAGAGCAATGACAAAGCAATTGTTATAGGAGAGTATAGTTGTTTGCATACATTTATTTATTTAATACAATTCAGATTACTAATAACTCTGGTTGGGGTATGTGTGTGTGTGCATTAAAACAAGTAAATTTTAAAAAAATTCAGAAGCATCCAAAAAGCAAACTGTCTATAATGATAAAAAATTGTACAGTGTCTCAACCACCAAGTTACTCAAGACTTCGAAGAGCAGCTATAATTGCAATGACTTTTTGAACATCCTCAGAGTATGAGCTATACAGATCTCTGAGAGGATATTCCAGAGTCTCAACTCAAAACGCTCGTGCTCTATGTTCTAATAGATGGTATTGAATGAAAAAGGTGTTGGATTTCTTAGGGATAACATCTCAGAGATAATTTCTAAACATCAGGGAGTATATGTACACACACACACACACAGAGTAAACATAGACCTAGATCTAAATCTAGAGTATATACTTTGTATATTTATATCTACATCCATTTATCTATATTTAACTATCTCCTATATATTCCCAGTATACCTTAGTACAGTGGTTCTCAACCTGTGGGCTGGGACCCCATTTGGGGTCGATCGACCATTTCATGGGGGTCGCCAAGCAAGGCTGTCTGCCATTTTTTTTGTCCGCCATTTTTTTTGTCCACCATTTTTTCCCCTTTTCCGGCAGGTGCCTTACCTCCCTTGGGCTGGGCCAGCTGGTGATCGGCCTGCTCCGTCTCTGCCGCTTGCCAGCTACGCCTTGGCCGGCGCAGGGGGCGGAACCACGCATGCGCGGCGCTCCCGGGCAGGGAAAGTCCTCGATTTACGACCAGTTGGGTAGTCCTCGACTTACGACCGGTTTAGTCCTCGACTTACGACCGGTTTAGTCCTCGACTTACGACCAGTTGGGATCGCGGCATTAAAAAGGTTAAAAACCACTGCCTTAGTAACTGTCTCTTGACATATCCACACCAGACATACTCCAATAAGTTTTTCTGTCTGTGAATTTCAAACATCTTATATCTTACATAATTCAAAAAGAACAAATTATCTAATGAACCTTATGACCTTTTTGAGATTTCAGGTGACATTACACAGGTATACAAAATGTAGAAAACACACAAGTAGGAAAAAAAAGGAGATACAAGTGCTGCTGTATTTGGTATTTCCCTGTTAATTTTTGTTTAAATTTTCAAGCAGTTATATATTTGTACTCAAAGGAAAATAACTACTCACTGTGAACAAGAAAGCAAAAATCCTTCCACATCAGCAACAAAGTGAGTTTTGTGAAACCCTCAGCATCATATTCTACCACTCCACTATTAAAAAAAAGATTATTAATGAAAAATATAATTAGAACCACAAAGCAAAATTAGGCAGAAGCTCGTCCCTTCCTATTGGCATGCATAAATTCATGAATAGGGCAGAAGTCACTGTTTCCCTCTCAAGTCAGGCACAAACGGTATTGACTAAGTACTCTGTTGTGGCCACTAACACCTACTGTGTGCAGCTACCATTACCTTCTTGTTTTCCTAGTTCTTACTTAGACCCCATTATACCCAATATATCTTCTGGCAGCTTCAGTTTTTTAAGCAGCAAATGAGATTAGAATTTACTACAGTACTTATATTTTGCCTTCTATTAGGATGTACTGAAAAAAGCTGAAATAAAAGCACACAGATACACACACACACACAGGCAGAATGAAAAATGTTGCAACTAGAATTAGAAATAACAGCAGAAATAAAACTTCAATTTTGCAAAATCAAGAAACCACACCAATCACACTTGTAGGTGACCTCTGGCAGGACTTGGACGGGGAAGTGTTATGAAAATTAGTTAGGTAGTTAGGTGCTATTAATTAAATGGGCAAATGTCTGCTATCTTGATTCTCATCTTGCTGATCCTGTCCATCCATGTTATCCGTTATCTTCCTATTTTTCTATTTCACTCAACATAGCTTTTCTAATGCATCACCCGCCTAATATGTCCAAAGTATGTGAATTTCTGCTTGCTGATTATTGCCTCAAGGGAGTTGTCAGTTTTTATTTCATCTAAGAGCCTGACCAATTCTGCCAGCAATCCATGGTTCTCTTAGTAACCAGCTGTGTATTACCACTGGAAAAATCATTGTTTTAACTATTCTGATCCTTGTTCCTATAGAAATAGTCTTTTCCTTCATGATTTTAAGTTTGTCATTGCTTTCTTCTCTAAGATCAATCTTCCAATTTCTTCTGAAACATACTGTCCATCTTTATCTATTGTTGAATCTAAACCTCAAAACTACCTGTCACCTTTTTCACCTATAATTTTACTAATTATACTGTTGAGACTTCCTTTGTCTTCTTAACATTTAGCATTAATCTAGAACTTTGACTATCTCTACTTTCAACTAACAAAGGGTTAATAATTTCCCCTTCTTTTGGCTCTTTTCTCACCAACTCTTTAGAGATGATACTGAAGCCTAGAGTGGGAAAGAAGAAATGCTAAAAATCTTTCCTTCTATAATATGGTATAATTTATCTATTAGTGTATAATAAATATAAATATAATATAACTGGGTTATATTACTGTGTACTACAGTAATATAACTCAGGGCTACCAAGCTTAAATATGCATATTTAGGAAAACTCCAAGTGGCAAAAATATTTTTAGTAAATATGAGTAAGAATAGACAGGAAGCTAATGCTTATGGTTATATTCCATTTTAAAGTGAAACATATATTTACGTACGTTCCAAAATGACTAAGAAATGCTGCAATATATTCCCTTCTCTTATGGTAACCCTGGATAACATATTGAACCTATAAAAGAAATTAAAAAATGAGTGCAATTATGATAAAATTAAATTACAATACAGAGTATTAATTTGGGAGAGTTTATGCTTTACTAATAAGTATAAGTCTGGAAAAATATTTTTACATGCATCAGCAACAAGAGATTGGTGTATTAAACATATATAATAATTACACATATTTTATTTTTTAAGGATGAACACATTGATTAAACCTTATAGTAGATTCTGCTACTTTACATAATGGCAATATACTATCCATCTGGAATTTCATACAGTATTTCATAAGTATTTTGAAGAAGCCTATGGTTTCTAAGCATTTTATTTTATATTAAAATGCAATTTTATGTATTTCACACCTCTGATATTTCCTGGGCCAACGTTTAAGTGTTGCAGTTAGAACATGTCTATCATGTTCTATCAGTTCATAATTTCTGCACAATATTCTTATTTATTTATCAAACATTACATAGCTGTCTGTCTACTAATTGGAACTCTAAACAGTGAACAATTTTTTGTAGTTTAAAAACAGATCTGTGTACTTGCAAATTAAAAAACTAACCAATAGAGAGCCACAACAAAAACAACTCTAAAGATAGATTCTGGTATAATTATAGAAATGCATTTGGAAGTATATTTCATAAATTCATAATTTATAAGATTCCCTTAAGCAAGAGCAATTTAAACAGGAATAAAGAGTATTTCCAGACTATTTCATAATCAGATTAATGAAAACTCTGACGCAAATTGTATAGCTGAAATGCAGAAGGCTGTGCATAGTCTTTTCAACTATTCCTGGCTCACTCCAAAATGATCTTTCATTAGGCAATTTCACCTTTGGTTTTGAAATTTCTGACAGAAATAATTTTAGATCATAGGGTTTACCAATTTATGAATAATTATTTATTTTACCCTAGTTTAGAGCCCTGGTATTGGAATATCTTGGTAAAAAGTTTGTCTATTCTGGGTATTACCTTGTTGGTTAACAGTTGGCATACTTGGGGAACATAATCAATGAGGCAGCCTCCACCTGGAAAAGCAGGAATGTGAAGAGCAGAAGATCCACCAAGAGCACTAGAAAAATAAGTCAATTAAGTAACATCAGATACAGCTTTGTGATTCTTTCAAAGGCATACATTTCCCATATAAGACATATCCTTATATTCAGATGTGTTACATGTAAAAAATCATACAGCATTATATATATTCTATCAACACAAAAATGCAATATTAGACTACTGTTTCAATGTTTGAGTTAGATACAGAAACCAGGCCCACATCTATGTTTAGAGATGAAGAAAAGCCATTGGATTCAAGGGGTCTTACCACATTCTAAAAATCCATAACATGCATGTGTTTGCAACCAGGATGAACACATTTATTGATTCTTTCTCTTTTGTAAACAGAAGGTGATAAACATCCCAGATTTCTTTCCCACTTTTTAATGTCAGCTTATACTATGTTTTGGGTGATCCCTGAGCTTGGCTGTTTGCTTGCAGCCATTTAATTACCCAACTAGGTAACTTTATCATATCAATATAATCACAGGGATGTAATTTTTATTACATATATAATAATAACATAAATTTAATAAATAATATATTAATATCTGCAACAATACCTCTAAAACCATCAAATATCAACATCTGTCTATCCCAGGTCCTTGAGAAAAGGACATAATACATAGATAAAAATGCCAAATCCAGTGGTTAACTGTGCGATGAATCATAAACAATACTACAATTAATAATACTTCTTTTGAAGTCCAATACTGTTTTTTCCAACTGTTCATTTTAACTGGCTTCTTTTCATTATATTATTCTAAGCAAAGCCACCATACAATATTGGACTTTTTATTCTTGTTTTTAGACTAGACTTGCAGCACATTGGCAACCTAAGCAGTCAAAGTAACAGGCTAAATATGGTAAGTGGAGACAGCTAGACTTTTCTCACTGTTAACAATAAATAATCTGGAGCCACAGTTTATTTTTTAATCAACTATGCTAATTGAATAATTTATGAAGAAAATATAAACATCTTTCAAAAAATAACATCTGAGCATATTTTGCTCTTTCTTTATGAAGTTCTCACGTTGGCTTTGTTTTAATCTTGCAAATGGTTACAAAGCAACTTAAATTAAGATTTTTCTAGACTTCAGGGAAGAAAGGGTATATTGAAGATGGCAATGCTAAAAGCAGAGCTGACAATCTTAGTGGAATGAAGTGCTGGCAAGCAGTACCGCTCTTTGTAATTCCTCTCTAGACAAGACAAGGATTTGCGATCACCCACAAGGGCTCAAGAAAATTCTTCCTCACAAGAGCAACATAGCAGTCTCAGGCAGGTTTAGAGTTCCAGGAAACTAGAAAATGCCATCTTTGCTTAAAACGTGGTTGGCACCTTTGTGGACACTGGGTTTGCATGCTTCCTTTTCTAATCAATATAGTAACTGTGAGAGGGACCTCGGAGTCCTAGTGGACAATCACCTAAATATGAGCCAGCAGTGTGCTGCAGCTGCCAAAAAGGCCAACACAGTGCTAGGCTGCATTAACAGAGGGATAGAATCAAGATCACGTGAAGTGTTAATACCACTTTACAATGCCTTGGTAAGGCCACACTTGGAATACTGCATCCAGTTTTG